CTCAATCGTATTACTGTCCAAAATGTTTGCTTCAATCAGCAGTGCAAACAACTTCATGTTATACCTAATTTCATCCAAATACATACTGGCATAAATAGTCGGGCGGCCAATGTTGCTACTTCTAAAGCTCAAAACATCTAGCTTAATGAGGAGTGTCGTTATTGGTTTTCCAATAGAGATAATTTAAAGATCCACCTTAAAGTATTATATTCTGAACTTTCTTATAAATTACATAATATTGAATTTGATATTTTGGACCGGAAAGCCAGAGACCTGGCTTCAATAGTTGTTTAGGTGAAATATCAAATTCAGTCCCGTAAGTTACAACGACTTGTATCTTCTTCATCTCGTAAGCGTAATAACAACATACTTACTGAATATCATCAATTTTTTCCCCGAGTTAAAAATCTTTCCGATGTTCAATTTCCAACGGATGAGTTGTCACTTTTACAAAAAGGCCTAAAGTATAATCTAACACCTTCGATCTCCCAAAAGTCGCAAGAGACTATGGCCGTTGTGATGAGGAAGAAAGATAACATCGTTACAAGTTTGGTAGCGAAAGAAATTCAGGCTGTACCCGCTTCTTACCATTGTAATCCGGAGTTCCCTGTTTTTAAGTCACTAATGCAGAGAATCAGGGACAATGATCTTATTGTTACTAAAGCCGACAAGGGCAATACTGTTGTTATTATGTATAATAGCGGGTATGGCCAGAAGGTTAACGATGTTATCTAAGGTGATGACTTTGAGCTTTTGGAGTGTGACCCCACCAAAAAGTTTACTTCGAATATTAAAGTATGTATAAAACATTCATCATATATTTTTACCGACCATAACTTGTCTCACAGCAGTCTTGTTCTAATGAATCCTCACGCACCCATTTTATATGGGTTACCTAAAATACATAAAGAACAGGTTCATATTCGTCCAGTTGTATCATATATAGGTGCACCAGCTTATTTTCTTGCTAAAAAGTTAAATTTCATTCTGCGGGAAAAATCTGTATTCAATCCAACTTACAGCCTTAAAAATAGTTTAGATTTCATTTACAAGATTAAAGATATTCGTATTCCTCCTAAATCCATGTTATTATCTTTAGACGTTGAAAGTCTTTTCACAAATGTCCCATCCTTAGACTGTTTGCGCATACTCGCAGATCTCTTTATAAAAGTCGTCTACATCCCGGGGAATCAAATGATCTTCTAACTTAAACTCTCTGTATGAAACAAAACTATTTCCGGTTTAATAACCACTTCTATCTACAAAAAGAAGGGCTAGCCATGGGTTCCCCTCTAAGTCCTCTTATGGCGGACATTTTTATGGATAATTTTGAATAAAAATACATAGGTGTCAATCAAAATATCTGATAATATTGTCGATATGTAGACGACATAATTATTTGCTGGACTGGCACAAAGAGGCAACTGGATGTTTTCCTTAATAAAATTTATAAAATCCACGACAAAATTAAATTTAAGCTTGAATTAGAACAAGATTGTGTCCTTAAATTCCTCGACTTAACAATAACAAGAAAAGAGTCAGAGTTACATGAACTTCAAATTTATCGAAAGCCAACTCATACCGACACAGTCATTTCTGCGTCATCATGTCATCTGTGACTATATAAATTAGCCGTTTTTTTATTGTTATATTAATCGTTTCTTTACTGTGCCATTAAGTAAAGAAAATTATTTAAAAGAGCTTAATGTGATTTATGAAATTGCGGTCTCTAACGGTTATTCAAAGAATATTTTCATTGACAATGTAATAAAAAAGAAACAAAAGCTTGTCGTAGGCAATTCTCTGTACGCGGTTAAACCTCAAAGTGCTCGAGTTGTAGGGTATCGCAGTGGTCTGTTGTTAATTTCACAGCAAATATCTGCGTACGTGAGATGGTGACTGATCACATGACGTAATCGCTCGTAACGTAATTGGAGCGTGGTTGCGTCAACAAGTAGTATAAATAGCAGTAGTTTCGCCTCGCCGCTCACTTAGCGGCCAGCCTCCGCACAGTCTACTTCACCTGAGGATGCCTCGTGTAGAGGCTAAACACGTGTCGTATTTTCGAAAGTGGTATGTCGTGCCTGGTGTGGTGATACTGGGGGTGGTAGTGCTGGGATTGAAGGCGACGGGTATAGTGCGCGCGATTGAGAGAGGTTGGGAGGTCCCCTTAAAACTGAGCAGGACACATCATTTTCTTTCCTTACGCGGCATTAAGCAAATTAGTTTATAACAACCCCACCATTAATACTACTCAAATTAAAGTTAAAATTTCATAAATTCAACAATTATATTCATGAACAGGAGTAAAAATTTAGAGAAGTTGGGCAGAAGCATCATTCTGATTATAGCTTAAAATAATAAAAAGATGCAGTTGGGAACCATCCTGCCGAGCGTGGTAAGAACGGCTAATATCCAACTTATTTCGTAATCTATGGAGAGAAATTCGTCTTGTGGGTGTCGTAAGAGGCGACAGAAGGGAAACTGAAACTGGAGATGGATGGCAGCATCTTCCTGATGCAATGCAGAGTAATAAAAAGGTGCGATTGCCAACCTAGTTGCTAAGCGTGACTACTACTGCAAATATCCGGCTTATTTGACAAACAATGGGGAAAGCCTATGATCAGAAGTGGATAAGCCTTCTAAAAGTAAAAATTTAGCAGCTTATATACATCCCACTACTGGGGACAGGCCGCAGCAAGGTTTTTGGATAAAAAAGCGTTGATTGAGTTGACTCCAATGCGGGTTGACCGACTTCACATAAGTATACCTAAAAATGATTTCCGAAATATTTTGTTAACTTCTCAAATATGCAGGTTCGCGATATTTGCCTTCATCACTGAGGACGTGGTAAATTGAAACTTCAAATTGCAATTAAAATATGAGTGGTGTCGCTGCGGATCAAAATTGCGTTCCTTACGTACTATGATATTTACGTTTGGATCGGTTCTATTACCGGATAACTACGAAGATTTTAGCAATGCAGTTCTACGCATAGTTAAAATAATAATAAACATGCGTTTAAAATTTGCTGTCTTTGATATTTATAGTACTTTTTCGCAAGAGCCTGTTCATTTACTCATGTCAGCTATGAAACCGGGACTGTCACAAAACTCACAGATAATATCAATCACTATAAATCTCAATAGGTAGGTATGTCTGCAAATATGAAAGCTACCTTAATATATGACACACTGTTTTATGACTCTCCTTGAAAATGAAAAAGTAAAGAAGGAGCTTACATACGTCTTACGACTGTGCACAAGTCTGCTAATTACCCATATGCAAAATAGTGGTTTCACATGTCCACATTTTTTTTAAAACTACTTAGGTTTAAGGTTTCATCGCCAAGTTATTTTTTACCACTTCACTGAGCACGTGGAAAATAAGCAAATAAAATTTCCTTACCAGTTTCATTGGCCCTCGCGGGAATCGAACACTCTTGTATTTGCTTAAATAAAACTCGTAAAACTGAAAAGCAACTTTTGTACTATAGTGGGTACCCCATCTACCTAGTAATTAGCCATTCAAACTATTCCGTCATTTAGAGATGAAAATCTTACAGTCCACTTAATCTTCAATTACTTATTTTGGACTTGATACAAAGATAAGTTGGTGAAATATTGCTATGCTGAGAGACACCCAACATATTCTGTCTTAATCACAGTTTTGTGTACACAGTAAAAGTGATAATTATGATAAATCATCCCGACACCGGTTCGGATATTTTAAGTCTGACAATTTTTATGCTGGAACAATAAGTATTCAAGAAAATTCTCTTTAATTTCATCAGTTACTTATTATTTGTTTATTTAGCAGTAAGTAGATGGCGCTATTATGAGATTAAAACTATGAAAACAAAAACTGTACTTTCTAGTACTCAGCGACAATAAGAGGTACGACTAGGGTCGCCCAATAACACAACAAAGCCGCCCCGCCAACATTTATGTAATACATAAATTAGACATAAAGTGATGTAGATTCTATTAAAACATTTTGCTTCTGTCAAAAATACGCTATCAGCGCTGCTCACTGGCTAGTGTGTAATGAAATTATTTTACGATATAAATAAATAGCAATATTGTGTTTAACTGTTAATATCGCCAAACGATCTCTCTTCATTGATTTGGTCAAGTTATATCATGAAATAGTCAAAACGATGTTAAATTTAATTAAATGTCACCATTTCGTGCCATAATCGACCACTTTATGATATTATTAATTCTAAGATCTGGTCATACATAAAAATCTCTTTATTTAAACTATGCGAATAGTAAGAGTTTTGCAATAATTACAGTTTTTATCAGTTTATTTATAGATAAACAAAAATTTTATATAGATTAGAAATCCAAGTCAGAAACATCTCACATTTTAGGATGTTCGATAGATGTGACTATTATCTATTTAAGTAGTAATTAGTTACTATAAACTTTATTTAAATATTAAAATGAAATAACGAAAGAACTGAAAAATGAACATTATAATTTTCAATTTATTAAGAATGAAATTATTTAAACATATAAATGTAAGTTATTTATTTTAATTTTATTTATTAGTAACTGGAGGTGAAATGTTACTACTTTTTCAAATTCACGTTAGACGGCACTGTTTCGATAAAGTGTTTATGAAGTTCCGCAATCAGATAAAAAGTAGCCTATAAGTTGCCCCGGGTCCCTAACTACCTACACACAAGATTTCATGGAAATATGTCCAGTAGTTTTTGCGTGAATCGGGAATACACAGACAGACAGAGAAAAATTAAAAAAAACCATTAATTTCGATTCGGTACCCTTTATTTAGTCCCCTGGACTTGCTTTTCCATAAAATATTAGAATTGCAGACGCTACTTTTCTACAGATTTGTTATAAGTATAGATTGTAAAATTATGGCCATAATTATTGCCATATCACGGTAATGTAGGCGTAGCATAAGGATAAAACTTAGTAAAGTATACTCAAGAAAAACTTAGTAGATTACATTAATTATTGTCATTTTTATAGGTGGAGTTTTAGTCTCTTTCGTAAAGGATATAAGCAAGGCCTAACAATAGAAGATCTGTTTCAAGCGCGTGACGCCGATCACTCAGGGCGACTCGGCGACCGCTTGGAAGAGGCGTGGCAAAAAGAACTTGATAACGCTCGTCGCACAGATTCAAAACCTTCACTTGCGAAAGCTATAATAAGATCATTTTGGCTTGAATACATGCTATGTGGGTTTTTGACTGGCATATTATTTATTATTTTATGGTGAGTCTGGTTTCATTTTATTTAACTAAGGATGTAGTGTGGGTGGCGTTTGATATTCTGTTCGTTTTTTAAAAACTTTTGCTATTTAGTTACAAAATTGTGATTCTAAGCTAGAATTTGAATGTAGAAATTATTATGTAATTTGAACGCCATAACGTTTTATTAAATTCACTAAGCAATTTTGTTAAGTAAAAATTGCATTCTTGTTTCAGGCCATTAGTTCCTTTCACGTTGGCATTATTTATTGGATATTTTTCCAATGAAAAGACTCCAGAAAATTACAGAAATGCTCATATTCATAACTTTCTTATGAATTTATTAAGTGTTTCAACATCCCTTATGTTAAATCATTCACTATTAGCTCAAAGTTGCGTTGGAATGAAAGTAAGAATTGCTTGCTGCTCTTTACTGTATAGAAAGGTGAGTTCATAGATGAGATTATAAAAATATATATATATGTTACAAAATTTAAAATTTATTTTTGAGTACGGAATAACTTCAATTTTTTAATTGCAGATATTGAAACTCAGTTGTTCTGGTCTGGGTAAAACAGAGTCTGGCCAGGTGATAAATTTAATGTCAAACGACGTCAACCGCTTTGACATGGCAGCTCTATTTTTGAATTATATATGGGTTATGCCGATCATGGTACCAGTAGTATCGTATCTCGTGTGGCAGCATGTTGGCCTGGCGACGCTAGCTGCGCTTGCCGTTATATTTCTGCAGACTGTTGTTGTTCAAGGTATAATGATTTGACAACGCAATAACATTACCCATCATTTAAATCTAGATACCGGCTTTTTACTTTATATGCTTTATAATAACTGTGCGCAGCACACAATAACTCTAGCACAACTTTAGGCAAGATAGAGGTGGATTGTATTTAAAATACGTTGACCGCAACTAAAAATAAAGTAATAATATATGGACATGGCGTGTCATGTACGTTACGCAAGATGACAAGGATACCAGATCATAACTTCCGGGAAAATTCTAGGTAACGGAGTCGATATACATTACGCAAGATGACTACGGATGCTAGATTATAATTTCTGTAGCAATTCTGGAGTAACGGAGTTGATATATATTACACGAATTAACTAGGATGCCTGATTATCGATTCGGGGACAATTCTAGGGTGACGGAGTCGGTATACATTATGCGAGATGACAAGGGATGCCAGATTATCATTTTCGGTACAATTCTAGGGTAACGGAGTCAATATACATTACGTGAGATAAATATGATGCCTGATTATCATTTTCGGGACCATTCTAGGGTAACGGAGTCGGTATACGTTACGTGAGATGACTAAGGATGTCAGATTATCATTTCCGGGAAAATTCTAGGCTAAAAAAGTCGATATATATTACGCGAGATGACTAGTGATGACAGATTATCATTTTCGGGACAATTCTAGGGTAACGGAGTCGATATACATTACAAGAGATGACGAGAGATGCCAGATTATCATTTCTGTGGCAACTCTGGGGTAACGGAGTTTATATACATTACGTGAGATGACAAGGGATGCCAGATTATCATTTCCAGGATATTTTAAGGTAACGTAGTCGATATAAATTACGCGCGATATTTAGTATGCCTGATTATCAATTCGAGGATAATTCTAGAGTGACGGAGTCGGTATACATTACGCGAGACGACAAAGGATGCCAGATTATCCTTTTCGGTACAATTTTAGGGTAACGGAGTCAACATACACTACGCGAGAAAACTAGGATGCCTGATTATCATTTCCGAGACAATTCTAGGGTAACGGAGTCAATATACATTAGGCGAAATAACTAAAGACGCCAGATTATAATGTCTTGGACAATTCTAGGGTAACAAGGTCGATATTCATTACGCGTAATGACTAGGGATGCCAGATTATCATTTTCGGGAGGATTCTAGCGTAGTGAAGTCGTAGACAAAATGGCCACAGAAATGATAATGTGGCATAATGTAGACGATATACATTACGCGTGATGACTAGGGATGCCAGATTATAATTTTCGGGACAATTCTAGGGTGACGGAGTCGATATACATTACGCGAGATAAATAAGATGGCAACTTATGATTTCCGGGACAATTATAGGATAACAGAAGCGGTATATATTAGGCGATATGACCAGGGATGCCAGATAATAATTTTCCGGGACAATTCTAGGGTAACGAAGTCGATATACATTACGCGTGATGAATAGGGATGCCGGAATATCATTTTCGGGAAGATTCTCGAGTAGTGGAGTCGATATACATTGCGCGAGATGACTAGTGATGCCAGATTATCTTTTCCGTGACATTTCTAAGGAAACGTAGTAGGTATACATTACGCTAAATAATGAGAGGTGTCAGATTATCATTTCCGGGACAATCCAAAGGTAATGCAGTCGATATACATTACACGATATGACTAAGGATGCCAGATTATTATTTTCGGGACGACTCTAGGGTAGTGAAGTCGGTATACATTACGTGAGATGACTAAAGATGCCAGTTTATCGTTTGCGGGACAATTCTAGGGTGACGGAGTCGATATACATTACGCGAGATAAATAAGATGGCAGATTATGATTTCCGGGACAATTATAGGGTAACGAATTCGATATACATTACGCGTAATGACTAGGGATGCCAGATTATCATTTTCGGGACGACTCTAGGGTAGTGAAGTCGGTATACATTACGTGAGATGACTAAAGATGCCAGTTTATCGTTTGCGGGACAATTCTAGGGTAACGGATTCGATATACATTACGCGAGATGACTAGGATGCCCGATTATTATTTTTGGGACCATTCTAGGGCGACAGAGTCGGTATACATTACGCGAAATTATTAGAAATGCCAGATTATCATTTCCGGGATAACTATATGGTAATGGAGTCGATATTCACTACGCGAGATAACTAGGATGCCACATTATGATTTCCGGTACAGTTCTAGGCAGACTGAGTCGATATATATTATGCGAGATGACAAGAGATGCCAGATAATCATTTGCGGGACAATTCTAGGGTAACGGAGTTAACATAAATTACGCGAGATAAATAGGATGCCTGATTATCAATTCGGGGGAAATTCTAGGGTGACAGAGTTGGTACACATTATGCGAGATGACAAGGGATGCCAGATTATCATTTGCGGGACAATTCTAGGGTAACGGAGTCAAAATAAATTACGCGAGATAAATAGGATGCCTGATTATCATTTTCGGTACAATTATAGGGTAACGGAGTCGGTATACGTTACGTAAGATGCTAGTCATATATATATTACGCGAGATAAATAGGATGGCAGATTATGATTTTCGGGAAAATTCTAGGACGACGGAGTCGATATACACTATGCCAGATGACTAGGATGCCAGATTATTATTTTTGGGACAATTCTAGGGTAACGGAGTCGATATACATTACGCGAGCGAACTAGGGATGCCAGCCTATCATTTTTGTGGCAATTCTGATATAACGGAGACGATATATATTACGCGAGATAAATAGGATGGCAAATTATGATTTTCGGGGCAATTCAAGGGTAACGGAGTCGAAAATACATTACGCGTGATGAATAGGGATGCCAGATTATCATTTCCGGGATAATTATATGGTAATGGAGTCGATAATCTCTATGCGAGATAACTACGAGTAGGATGCCAGAATATGATTTCCGGTACAATTCTAGGGTGACGGAGTCGATATACACTATGCGAGATGACAAGGGATGCCAGATTATCATTTGCGGGCCAATTCTAGGGTATCGAAGTCAACATAAATTACGCGAGATAACTAGGATGCCTGATTATCAATTCGGGGGAAATTCTAGAGCGACGGAGTAAACATTACGCGAGTCGACAAGGGATGCCAGATTATCATTTTCGGTACAATTCTAGGGTAACGGAGTCAATATTCATTACGTGAGATAAACAGGATGCCTGATTATCATTTCCGGGACAATTCTAGGGTTACGGAGTCAATATATATTGCGCGAGATGACTAAAGATGCCAGATTATCATTTGCGGGGACAAATCTGGGGTAACGGAGTCGAAATTTATAGGCGTAATGACAAGGGATGCCATATTATCATTTTCGGGACGATTCTAGGGTAGTGAAGTCGATATACATTGCACAAGATGACTAGGGATGCCAGATTATAATTTTCGGGACAATTCTTGGGTAACGGATTCGATATACATTACGCGAGATGACTAGGATGCCAGATTATTATTTTTGGGACAGTTCTAGGGCAACGGAGACGGTATACATTACGCGAAATAATTAGAAATGCCAGATTATCATTTCCACGATAACTATATGGTAATGGAGTCGATATTTATTACTCGAGATAACTAGAATGCCACATTATGATTTCCGGTAAAATTCTAGGATGACGAAGTTATGCGATAAATTATGCGAGATGACAAGGGATGCCAGATTATCATTTCCGGGACAATTCTAGGGTGACGGAGTCAATATATATTACGCGAGATGACTAAAGATGCCAGTTTATCGTTTGCGGGACAATTCTAGGGTAACGGAGTCGATATTCATTAGGCGTAATGACCAGGGGTGCCAGTTTATCATTTTTGGGACAATTCTAGGGTAACGGAGTCGATATACATTACGCGAGCGAACTAGGGATGCCAGCCTATCATTTTTGTGGCAATTCTGATATAACGGAGACGATATATATTACGCGAGATAAATAGGATGGCAGATTATGATTTTCGGGACAATTCAAGGGTAACGGAGTCGAAAATACATTACGCGTGATGAATAGGGATGCCAGATTATCATTTCCGGGATAATTATATAGTAATGGAGTCGATATTCTCTATGCGAGAGAACTAGGATGCTAGAATATGATTTCCGGTACAATTCTAGGGTGACGGAGTCGATATACACTATGCAAGATGACAAGGGATGCCAGATTATCATTTGCGGGACAATTCTAGGGTAACGAAGTCAACATAAATTACGCGAGATAACTAGGATGCCTGATTATCAATTCGGGGGAAATTCTAGAGCGACGGAGTCAGTAAACATTACGCGAGTCGACAAGAGATGCCAGATTATCATTTTCGGTACAATTCTAGGGTAACGGAGTCAATATTCATTACGTGAGATAAACAGGATGCCTGATTATCATTTCCGGGACAATTCTAGGGTTACGGAGTCAATATATATTGCGCGATATGACTAAAGATGCCAGATTATCATTTGCGGGGACAAATCTGGGGTAACGGAGTCGATATTCATTAGGCGTAATGTCCAGGGGTGCCAGTTTATCATTTTTGGGACAATTCTAGGGTAACGGAGTCAATATACATTACGCGAGCGAACTAGGGATGCCAGCTTATCATTTTTGTGGCAATTCTGATATAACGGAGACGATATATATTACGCGAGATAAATAGGATGGCAGATTATGATTTTCGGGACAATTCTAGGGTGACGGAGTCGATATACACTATGCGAGATGACAAGGGATGCCAGATTATCATTTGCGGGAAAATTCTATGGTAACAAAGTCAACATAAATTACGCGAGATAACTAGGATGCCTGATTATCAATTCAGGGGAAATTCTAGAGCGACGGAGTCAGTACACATTACGCGAGTCGACAAGGGATGCCAGATTATCATTTTCGGTACAATTCTAGGGTAACGGAGTCAACATACACTACGCGAGAAAACTAGGATGCCTGATTATCATTTCCGAGACAATTCTAGGGTAAC